GAGGAGATCCTATTGGGGCTATTGCCAAACTCTTAAAGTCAAGATTTATCTTCCCTGACACTGCCCCATATTTAAACATTTCTCTTAAGGGATTAAAAATATGTTTATGATTGATTTTTTTTTTTTTTTTTTTAATCGGCATGGTTTTTGCTGCAGCCACACAAATCAATAGGGTAGTAGTGAGGAAATTTTTCTTTCTTTCTTGTTGTTTTGTTTTTATTACCCATTGTATTATTTAAGGTAGACTGTTGTTACAGAGTAACTATTATTTTACCATATCCTTATTTGTTGTAATATCTGAAATAAGAGGAAGAGAAGGGAGAAATTACACTATTAAAAAAAAAAAAAAAGTATGAAACCAGTTTTTAGTAGGTTAATTGTCATCCTTCTTTCTGTTCCAGTGTTTTTTCTGACACTTTTTCAAAAGAGTAGGACCTCCTAAAATTCATTCTTCAACTTAACAGTTTAAAAAATAAAAAAATAAAAAAATAAACAAATTCAAGGAAATGTGCTGAGAAGCTCTAGGAGACCAATTCCGGATGTTTTATCACTTGCAACATTTGAACCTCCAGTCTGTTAACAGAAGTTGGTTTTAGAGTATTTTGATATGCAGCATGTTAATATTTTGTTCCAGATTTCATTCTAATAAGTGACAATTTCCTGGCAGTGTTTAATCATAAGAATCTGTGGTTATTATGTTAATCATAACACATTTTCTATCTTCTGCTGCATCCAGCTGAATTATTGTTTAGCATTAAAAACTTTTTTTTTCTTTTTTTCTTTTTTCTTTTTTTCTTTTTCCTTTTTTTTTTTGTATTAGGGCTAATTTTCATAAAGCCCTTCTGCAAAAGAAGCCTTTCTCCTCTTCATTTCTTCAGCAGACTTGTATTCATACTTAAAACACTGGGGATGATCCTTGTTTCTAGCAGATTTTGCTTCTCAACTCATGGTCATTCCCATGTGTTCTGAAGACAGCTGGGGAGTCAGGCTGGTTTTGGCTATTCCTCCATCATATACTCAGCTGCAAAATATAGTTTACTGCTTTAGAAAAAAACAAGCTTGTACAAGTGTTTGCTTTATCTACAGCATACATGAATTGAGAAAATATTCTTCACTATTTCTTGGAGAGGAGTATGACCACACAGTGCCCACAGCACAAGCTGTGCAAAAGTGGTATGATGCAGCTCTTAGTTATTTTTAGCCCAGTGTAACTGCTGGTAAGGACTGTTGGGGGCTGCCTGCAGTGCTCATAAGTATAGTATTTAAAATGTCTGTTCTTGCAATGAAGTCTTAAAAATGTATCCTGCGAGAGTCAAATAGTTTAGAAAGATAGTTCTTATTACTCTATCTCCCTGTTCCAAGTATATTACCTTCTTTACTCATACTCACCTGATGTTTTTTTTATATAATCATCATCTGTGCCCCTTTGGAGAGATTTTTTACTGATGAGAACGTGCATAGAAGCTAATTTACCTGGACAGTGCAATAACATTTTGATTTCACAGTTCTTCCAGGATAAAGTAATCAAATGCAGTATCATAAAATTTATGATGAAAGGAGAAGAGAAAATGAAGACTACTGCAGCTTATGAAGATCGTTTTGTATGAAGTGATTTTAAATGTACATTTTTTTGAGCTAGAATCTCTGATCATGAAGGGTAGTTAACCTAGAACTTATTCTGAAGTGAAAATGATAGGAGCAATGGCTTCTGTATCCTTTATTAAGACCAGTCTGATTTAGTGGCACGGTGCTCTTGTATTGTTTGGACCTGCCTATAACTCATACACACCTGAAAAATTGTGTTTGTGTATGTTCATATGTGTAATTATGATAAGCAATGAGAACTTTCCATGTTGTCTGTGTTTGTATGGAATGTTAGCATGAAAATATACCATTCAAATTCTATTCCCTTGGAAAGCTCTTTTACATTATGAGGATCATAAACTCATTATGTTTATTTAATGAGACGGTTGTTGGCATTGTCTCATTAGCTAACATTATCTTCATCCACAATAGGAAGAGGACTACATTTGCCATAAACTGCTTCTATCCTGAATGTAATGTCTACTAGTAAGTTTTCCTCTAGATCCTTTCAGGAGTACCTGCACATGTTATGCTTCCTCTACTGTTTGTGTAGTTAGTTTTGTGCCACTGCCACAGAGTTTTTTGCAATATATATTTTAAAAAGCAGTTTTACCATTCTCCACAGAAACAGATAAGAATTTCTGTTCCATGTTAACACAGATGAAAGATTGTACTTGCATCATGCAGTAATTCTGAAGTACTTTTTCAAGAATTTAGGATTGGTGGAGAAAGAGAAAAGACAATGGTCTTTGTCTGTCAATGGTTGCACTGATTTTAGTGATGATCCACCCCACTATATACAATCACACAAAAGCTGTAGCAGGGTAAAACATTGACAAAGTTTTGTAAAGGATAGTCATGGTAAATGTACAGCTTTGTATAATTTTAGATTCTGTGTTGGCTGGATAGAAATATGGCAAATACCATAACAATTTTATTGTGTAGTGGAAAAGATATTCAGAAGTAGGCAACCCATTCACAGTTTCACAGTTTGTGGTACTGTGTTCAAACTTGATGCAGAGCAAACAGTGAGATGTTCAGTAAAAAGCTTACTCATTTAATATTTCTCATAATGCATTTAAAAAAAAATCAGTATGGTTGTGGAAGTGCGTTACAGCAACAAGCAGCCTGAAGCCAGGAATGCACTCATTAAGATGCACAATAGAAATGTGCTAACCAAAAGAGCTGAATGGAAAGGAAAGAAAAAGAAAGAACATGTAATTTTTCACAGAACACTGGTGTCTCATTAAAGAAAATGAAGAAAAACCTTTTAATGCTTGATGGGGAACAGTTCAGTGTTCTAGCTTGGGATAAGCCCACGGGAAAGGCTACACATCTTGCTTGTGCTGTGCCCACTCCAAGAAGACATGGAGGACAGAAGGCAATGGCAGTGTTTTTAGGTTGAGAAAGAGAAATTCCATCCTAAATGAAGAGAGAGAGAGGGAGAACATTAGCTGAGAAGACAGATACTTTTATCATTAAATTTGATCTAATGATAAAAAATGATGCTTATTATTCTGAAATTTCTTTATATGGATGTAGTAACCCTCCAAATTGAAATATTTGAATACACTGAGAAACATTTATCTTCCTCATGAATGACTGTGCTGGAGTGTCTGAAGGTGATTAAGCAATACCTGCATTGGTTATCATTATTTTTTTTTGTTGTTTATTTTATTGACATAGTTTACTATTTTGGAAACATTATTTTAACTTTTCCTATTGATTTTTTTTTTTTCATATAAGATACCTAATTACTTCCTAAACTAGCAGAAAATTAAAGACAGTGTGGAAGAGAGCATATTCCTGACCTGTCTGCATGGCTGACTTCAAGAAAGACTGCTGCAGAGAGAGAAGTGTTTCTTGTAGAAAAGTGTAAAGAAAGAGTGTCATCCTACATAGACCCCTTCAGACTGTACTCCAGAAAGCAAAAACTTTCTAATTAGGTGCTTGTGTTAGAGTGGATGTACCTCTGAATATGGAAGTCTTTGAAGGAAGGTAGCTGGTAGTGGACAAAGCAGGCATTATGATCCTTCAGCAGGGAAACTGAAAAGGAGCTGATGTCATCTGTGGATGTGATATTAGTAAAACAACTAATGCATTACTTTACAGTTCTGGTTCTGATGTCTGTATTGCAAAAGACTGCCGAGAAACTTGGTTTTAGAAAAGATGTGAATGAGACTGGTGGAGAGCTTGGCTGAAAGAAATTTGCAGTTTAACTTACGTAACTTACTTGAATATAATTTATCCAAGATCTCTCTTCCAGCTCACCACATGTTTTTTTATCAGCTTTGTCTTTTCCTTTTACACTTTCAATGTGGGAACATTTCTCCAAAATTGAGCTGAATACCTATGGGTAACGTTCAAACTTTTTTAACTCTTTCCAGGCACTTTAATAATGTTTTTAATGTTTTTCCTTTTCCTCACTAACTTTAGGGTTTTTTTCCTCCTAAATCCACACTGAAACCAACTGCCATCCGTGACCCTTTTCAGCTAAGGGAGTATTTTATGCAGACTGGTAAATAAATGTTCAAGATCCTCTCTTCTTTTACCCCTTCTTCGCCTGTGTTCCAGTACTGTTGTTCCTTGTATCTGAAAAAGCTTCAAGATTGGAGGTGGTTTTCAAATGTAGAATCAAGGATTTTTTGAAAGAGTAATGTTTACACACAGCATTACATAAATGCTGAGTAATAATATAGCTGCCAGTCAAGATGACTTAGCTCCATTCACAGGCTGAATTCTTGTAAAAATGACATACAGTTGCTTTGACTGGCTGTAATGAACAGCCTGTAACTGCCATTGTCTACCGTAAAATAAAGGGGTGTCTTTTTTCTGAATCTCAACAAGGTAGTGTCTTTAATAGTTTTGACTTCCATTTGTACTTTTCAAAATCTGTTTTTCTCTTTAAAAGAACTTTTGAGTGCTGCCAGTAATTTTTTTTTCTTTTTCCACCAACAAAAAGTCTTGCAACGTTTAGTCAAGTGGCATCCTGAAATGATGTGACACACACAGCCAGTTGTTTCTGAGCTAAGTTAGAGGTGGGTTCTTCTATGCAAGGTCAGCTGCTGTTGTATGAAAAGCAAATGAACTGTGAAACAGTGCTTAAAAAGCATGCAAGCGTGTGTCATGGGCCCATTGCTCAAGAATTATTTTGCCTGAAAGATGGACACATACAAGATGGCATTTGGGTTTTGCACAGGAGATGGAATGCAGTCTGAACTACAAATAGTGCTCTATAAAAAGCAGTGATGAAGCATTTTCAGATTGTGCGTTTTGTGCTGTGTTTTGTGCTGTAGAGATGCCTGTGGTAGTCTACATTTTACTTTTCCCACTTCTCAGCAGTGGGAAATATGCACTCTGGATGCACTTTTCATTGCAGTTTTCCTTAATAAAACCAACCAAGCAGTGGTGATGGGAACAGGGATTCTATTTTTGGTGATATGTTTCCACTTCTTGGATTAGATTTCAGAATGATTGTAATTACAGAAAACAAAATGTTTTTTTCTCATTTCAGCATTAATTGTTTCTTCTGTTGAATGAATAACAACTGAAAACCACTGAGTAGAGTTGTGGAAAAATTAAGGATTTTGTCAACATGAATTATCATTTCTCTCTTATCACAGGGATGTTTCAGACTTAAATAAATTGAAAGTTCAAAATTTGCAATGACTGAACCTTCTAAGAATTGCTATGCTATCAACAACCAGGCAACAACTATTGTAATTATCATTCATTATCATTCTCTAATGGATGTTCTTGAATGTGAACAAGAGATATTTATTTTAAACTCAACAAACATGGGGATTGTTATATCACTTTTCTAATTTCTTTTCTTTGCTTTTTTTTTTTTGAGGCACATACTCTGTCATGCAATGACAACATATTATTATATTGCAAGGATGCTTAAGGTAGGCTAGTGCATTTCTACCAGATGGGCAGAAGCCAATCTGCCCTCCTGAAACCAGGATGCCTAACTGGGAAGTGTCTTGCCTTAACTGTACTTTTAGGGAATGTGACTTAAAATAGCCAGAATTTTCAGAAGTAATAGTAGTACTTACAGTTGTATATTCTATTATGTTACTTAAACTGAATTAAGCATAAGATATCTGTGATTGTAAAAGTTGTATATCTTTCTTATGTAGAAATATATAGAACTTACAAAAAATATTCTTACAGTTGCTATGTTAGAATTGCATCTCACTGAGCTGGAAGCACCTGTTCTGTGACCTGAACATCACAGAAGGCTTGTAAGGGTATCAGTATTTCTGCAGTACTGAGGAGTGCTTCACTGCTGGAGAATGTTACCTTTTGGGGTCATAGAGATACTATCAGAATGAAAAATAAAATACCTCTGGATAAAGATTTGCTTGTTAGGAATGCAGGCATATCCATTTTCTAGAAGGCATTTAGAATTTTACCTGTATAAATACGTTTGTTGGCACAATCATGCTAATGCTAGGGTTAAGCTTTATAAAATGTGTGAATGTTGTATGTCTGAATAGGTATCGCTTAGGATTAAACACAATTTACTTGAACTGCCAATAAAAGCTTTGAAGGAGAACAATGACCACTCCTTTATTTTCTGAGACTTCTGTAGCTTCTCCATCTGGCAGATAGCGATGTGAAATGTTCTGTCTTTTGTCATGCCCCTAGCCTTGAGTGAAGTGTGGATATATAGTATGTATTGAAAGCTCAGCTAATAAATCATTCCAGAATTTTTAAATTTCACTACTTCTATATATCTATCTTTATACCTATTTATACAAAAAATAAAGTAAAAAAAATCCAGTTGTTTTAGAATGCTTTAAAATTGATTTTTTTAAACAATATACTTCAAAGAACTCAAATAACTGCAATGAGATAATGCATGGCTAAAGGAAGGAAAATATTTTGTTTCAGATTATTGTGGTCAAAGTTGAATTATATCTTTTTACAGAAACTGAAGATGTATATACATGATAATTTGCTTGACTATACATGGGTTTGTATGCTTTAGAGAGAGAGATACCTATAATGAAGTTGTCTGAATCATAGCACATATGCACACATTTCTGACAGATACTTAATTTGTTGAAATGTTGAAAGCTGAATGCTGGTAGCATTTATAGTATAGTAGATAGTATTTGCTAGACCAAGCATCATTTTGCTGTATGTTAGAGATGCTTATGCTATCTGTAAGTTTTGATTTAGATACAGTTTAGTGTTATGCTGTTTATATGTTAAGAGTTTTTTTTAATAATATGTTGATCTTATTCCTTCTCAGAAATTATTTATCTTAACGTAGACTACGGATGGAGAGCAGTAGCTGTTCTTTTTGGATATTCTAACTATTTTACCCAATCTTTTCAATTTAAGGTTACCTTTGCCTCCTGGAGCATTCTCAGGACTTTGGGAAAATCCAGAAGCATTCCACAAGTTATATTTCCAGAAATTTCCAGTAAGAATTAAAAAATGATTTATATAAACTTTTGGTAATCTTGCAGCACTGAATGACATAAAGTCTCAATTAGATAACATAATATATATATAATATGTCTTATATTAATGGGAAATCTTTGATACGCTTCTTACAGTATTGAGAACATTTCAAGGTAAACATTTCTTCATAGTTCTCCAGCTTCTGGGGATACTGAATTTTTACAGATCTGAAACAAAATTAGTAAATACCAAGTTTCCAAACCTAAAAGTTGTTTTATGTCATTTGGTCTAAAAACATTGCCACATCTGCAACCTTAGTCTAGAATAGCTTCAGATATCCTTTTACTGTTGTTATGCAGCCATTCTAATTTAATGTCAGTCCAGAATATGCACTTGTCTGCAATGCATTTCAATACATAGGAGGCTCCTCACTGAATATCTCCACATCAGATGAAATATCTAAGGACTTGCCTCCTTTCCACATAGAAATTGATCAACTGGTACAGATAGGCTGTCCAGAATGGTGTGTTTGGTTCAGTAAAAGTAAATGAGTGACGCAAGCAGACAGATTGTACCAGCATGTTGAGGGTGTATAGTTGGATACAGCAAACAGGAGTATCTTTAGGGTCAGTTTGACAACCGTTGTTGTGTTGTAACAATTCCACTTTTCTTGTGTAGTTTCAGGCAATATTCTTCTCTGGGCTGTCAGGGATTCAAGCAGGCAGAGTGGAAAAAGTTCAGGTTTATGTATTCCATTTTCTGTCTTAATAAAGGCTGCAAAAATCTGGAAAGAGAGCTGCAAGGCATATGATGACATAAGAATGATGAAAAATAACATAGAATTAAATCTTTCAGACATCAACAACTTCATTTGACACAATCAGTTTTGTTTGCTGGTTTCATGGGAAAAAGATGGCTCTTCTTAGTAGCATTTTCTGAGGTTTTGTTTTTTTGTGTTTTTTTGATTGTGTTGTGTTTAGGGATATTATGATACTATGGATGCAGGCTATATGGATGAAGATGGCTATTTATATGTTCTGTCTCGAGCTGATGATGTAATCAATATTGCAGGACACAGAATTTCAGCAGGTGCAATTGAAGAGGTGAGCACTTCCTGGAAGTAATATAGAAGAGTGAAAGATGCATAAAGTAAGCCAAATTTATGGAGACAGAAAATCTCAGAAATTTTTCTTCTGCTTTTCTCAATTGCATTTACATTACTACTTTTAGCAAAAACATTAATTGCTTCAGGTCCTTCCTATTAAAGGTCTTTCCAGAACCATATAAAGCATTTACTACCATAGGCTTGATATAATAGTCATGATTTGACATATGAAGGTAGAGTTGAGGGGCAGTATGGTAGAATGGAAAGTATTCTGAAAAGCTCTAATGACATGTTTTCTTGGGAACACTTTATGCTAATGTAGGCTCAGCATGTCCTTGTATTAGCTGCTGCAGTTACTTTAGGAGTAGAAACATTTACTCCTAAAATAAACTTTTCAGTTGTGGTTTTGTTTTTTAAAATGTTTGGTGCTGTCTTGAATTCTTTTAACATAGACTAACATTTGCTGTTTTTTCTTCATTTGAAGAATTTCCTTCTCTGTTTCTTGAGAACTTTTTTGAATCAGTCTTACTGTATGAGAAGTACTAACTGAAGAATGGAAATTTCTGTTAAATCCCACTGATAAATTAAAAATCATTAATGTAATTGCTGTGCAACTCAGAAGGTTCATATTTCTATCTGAATTTCAAGTCTTTTTAACTTCCTTCTTCACAGGTGCTGTGATTGCTAGTTCCAAATGATATATCAGCTTTTTTTATTCAGAGGGACTAGGAAAAGATGTGTTAGATATGTACAAGGAAAAATCCTTTTATAAACCTCTGAATTTAACTGTTAATTGAATCACAAACTAGTTTGTTGTGCATTTGCTTTTTGTTTTGCTTTGTGATACTGGTTTTAGCAATACATCAAATATTACATTATTATGTTTTGGTGACTGCAGTGGTTTGGGTTTTTTTTTTTAAGATACCTTGAAGTATAGACAGAACTATGATTGCATGGAAGTGAACACATTCTGATAAAAGCAGGCAGTCCTTCAAAGGATCAGTCAGCCAGTGTTGAACCAGCTGCAGTACCGATATGGGACTGTGAAGACATGAAGATGGCTTTCAGTCTGCTTAAACTTATTTTTCTTTGAAGTGAGCTTTTGTGTTGCTGTGCAACAATGGGGAATTTCATCCCTATCCATTACTGCTCTGTTGCTCAAGGGTATTGTTTCCTAGCTTCAGGCCAGATCTGAAGCTGTACAAGGAACCGAATTATCTTCTCATCAGTGTCATCTTTGTATCTGTCTGAAACTGGTCCCCAGGTAAGCATTGCTTTTACCCTGTTAGTTAGAGCTTTCCCCTGAAGCAATGCTTCATCACTGCAGATCTCCAGATGCTTTTCTTTTCGTCTTTTGAACAAAGGTAAAAAAAATAGCATTGTTAATACATTCACAACAAATTGCTAGTTAATTGGAAAAGTATTAACAAAAACACAGCTTTTCAGTAAGATCAGTAAGCATAGAATTGGAGGTTTAATGAACAGTCATCTAATTAAGTGTCAGTTACCTTGTTGAGCAAGTGTATTATCTGTGTTTAAATTATAGTTGCATTACAAGCTTAACAAGTATATCCTTAGTGCTTTGGCTAAGAATTTCAGCTTCACTATGTTTCAGACAGTTAGTTTCTTTATCTGTTAGTATCACTGGAGCTCCATCTTTGCTGAGATAAGGTAACTCTACTGTTAACCTTGCCAGTCACTGATGTCGGCCAGTTTGGTAAGCTTAGCTTGTGTTGATCTGTCCATCTCTTTTGTCTGTACATCTGTGATTCCAAACTTGGCTTGACTCTTTCTGAATTTACTCAAATTAAGTCTTGTCTGTCCAATGCAACGGATGTAAATTTGCCCTTTCTGACAGTGGGATTTCTGACTGCTGCTGCATTAGAAGTCCCTTGTGTCCAGTGATCATATTCAAGAAATGCCCCTTCATTTTATCTTACTTGCCACCTAAAAATTGTTTACTGGTGACGATTTTGTTCTCCGTTCATCTTTTCAGCCTGTCTTAAAAAACTGATAATTTTTAAGTTAGTATTTACAATTCCAGTCATATGAAATTACCTGTCCCAGTGTCAATGGCATATTGATGAGGTTTTTGGATAGACCAGTGAAGGAATTTAATATAGATCTTACCAGTCTACTTTCCTACAATTCACTGAAAAGTAGATGAATGTAGTTTCATCTTTTTCTTTCTTTCTTAGTTCTGTGGCAGTCAGGTTGTAATTGGCATGGTCGAGAAGTCAAAGTAGAAAAAGAATGGATATTTAAAGCACAAAATTGAATGCTTCATGGATTAGAGGTGGCCAGGCTAATAGGTTTATATCACGCAGTGAAATATCACTGGGATCTGGAGTTGCATGAAGAAGCTAGGTGCTTTGGAAGAGGATTCTTGGTTACTGGTGCCTTAAGTCTAGCTTAGCCCCTGATTTAGTGACACATATCTCAGTATCCATTGAGACAACTTGGTGATTTTCTTTCAGGAAGTAAGAATCTCAGCTGGCTAACTGAAAACAAAAGAATAGCTCTCAGTCTTTTTTCTGAAAATAGTTCAAGATACGGGTGCTGCTGCCCATCGCTTATCTAATTGCATACACGTGTGGTAGGAAAGAGGAGGCTGTGGTTTAATTCCTTTTTTTATCTATGATGGTTGAGATCTCATGTTTCCAAGCAGGTCACCTGAACTAAGTTAGCAGCAAGCTGATCTAGGGCTTGTATTTGGCTTCAGTTGAAATTGTCTTAATGAAGCAAAGAACTGAAAAGATACAAGGCACCAGAGAAGATGAGCCAAAGTGAATATGACTCCATAGCCCTGTAATAGGAGAGTTCCTGAGGTTTTAGTCCTTAACTCCACAGTATCCATAATGTTAGACTAATGTTATTTTTTCCAGGAAAAAGCACACTAACAAAAACCTGGATGTGACAGTCTTGTTTTTCTAAAACTATAAGGATTCACCTTTGCTTTGTTCAAGCCTAGATTACTTCATGATCCTATGATTGTGCATTTGTATCTTATGCTGCCAATATTTTTATTTCTTAAATTTATTTGAAAAATACACGTCGGCACCTATGAAAGTATTCACACATGCATTGTCAACGTGTGTAATTAGAGTCCTGAAGTGCACTGACTAAATAATTACTAATGCCAGTATTTAATCAGTAAGTCTATTTTTGCGTCCCTCCTTATGGAATTTCATCATTGAAATGTTAAAATTATTATTAATCTAGTTTAGTTTTGTTTTCTGTCCCTCAGTGTGTTCTCCGCCATCATGCTGTAGCAGACTGTGCTGTTGTAGGCCAGGAGGATGCCTTAAAAGGGCACGTTCCCTTTGCGCTGTGTGTGCTGAGAGACGGTGAGAGATTATTCCTACAGGTGTTACTAAAACCTGCAGGAGTCCTAGAATAATTAAAGGACATGAACTTCTTCACTAGATGTAAAGACAGAAGAGAAGAAGATTTTGGAAGATATTGTTGAGCAAGTTCGAAATAACATTGGTCCTGTGGCAGCTTTCCAGAAGGGGGTGTTTGTGAAACAGCTACCAAAAACACGTTCTGGCAAGATACCACGTTCAGCTCTTTCTGCATTGGTCAGTGGAAAGCCGTATAAAGTAAGTTGGGGCTGTATGCCTGAATGAATTAGGCACATGTACACATCCAAAGATGCATCATCATGGTTTTGATTCTCTAGACCATACTAGAGCTGGTCCATGACTTTAGATACTATATTGTATTCTACTCTGTTTTACTTACAAGATTTTCATGTTCCAGAGCTTTCCAGATAATTTTCCCTTTACTGTTTTTGAATACTAGATTCTGAAATAAAATTGATCTACTGTTGAAGGACATCAGTCTATTATTAAATGCTTTTGCATGTTCTTCCTTTTCAGATAACGCCAACCATTGAAGATGCTAGTGTGTTTAAACACATAGAAGAAGTGCTGAAGAAAAAGTAAATGGAATAATGGGCCAGTAAAAGCGTCTATTACTGAAATATGCGAAGACTTTCTATTAGGAAATGCATATTTTAAAAACGAATAATAATAATGATTGGGACTACCTTTTTTTTTTTTTAAACTTTTCTACAGATGCTGTGTTCTTTTACCACATTATCATAGCCAGTGAAGAATACTGAAGTCTCTGTGTGTTGTCATTGTATGCTGGATATAAGATTACTAAGAATTTTAAATAGAATTCATACATTTCTCTAGCCTTCAAAGGAGTCACTGTATTACTGTGATAGAATTGTGGAATAACAAAACAGCTCGGGTTGAAATGGACTTCAAAAGACCATCACATCCAACCTTTCATAGGAAAAAAAGGGTGCCTAGAAGAGATTATCTAGCACCCTGCTGAATTGCATCGTGACAGCCTCCAGTGATGTGGATCTGTGCTATCCATTCTTGCATAATGGTATCAGTACCTTGAGTTTGACTAGAACAGCTTTCAGCTAAGATTCAAGCTGAAGACAGCAGAAAGTAGGAATTCTAACGTGAAAGTCATTGCAAACATAACTTGTCTTCACTTAAAAATTATAAGCCTTATGCCTTTTAAATTTTTATGAGCTTTAATTTTTTTAAAACTAGTTTTCTGGATTCCACTGATGTTTTTTTTCTAAGACTTTCTGTTATAAATTAGATTCTTCTACATGCTTTGTTCAATGACTTTTTGAAGTGTCTTTTTTTTTTTTTTTGTAGAATAATGGATGATTTCTGACTTTCAAGTCTGTTAAATTTTGATTTATCCATGGTAGTGTTGAATGGAAAACATATATTTTAAATAAATGCAGGCATTTATGCTTTGGATTTTTTTTTATAATTTTGTTGTGGTGGCTTTTATTGCTGTTATGGGGAAGGATAACCAGGATGTGCTGGCATAATTAGACGTATATATAGCTAAGAATTTTATCAAATACAGGTACAGCCCCTTTGTGATGATGTAGCTTGCTTCAAAATTCATTCAGGGTACTCAGCATGCCAGGAGATGGAGGATACATGCTCTAAATGCATTACTTCCCAATCTACAGTTTTTAACTTAACAAGAAATGTAAAAATCCTTGTAAAAATACATGAAGTGCATGTAAAAACAAATAAAAAGTTTAAAAGTAGAAAAGTTATTCATATTCAGCATTGTTTTCAGAGGACTAAACAGTAGGCAGTTGCCAAATTCAGAAGCTACGAGCATATTTTGAGACTTTTTTTCTGGAAATCATTCAAGATCAAGACTGAGAAGGAGGAGAGGGGCAAAGGGGTCAGGTGCACTCACTACTCACTACTGCCCTGCTCATGCAGAGGTTTCCAGAAATACCAAATGATTTCTTTGTCAGCTTTTAGAAAACCCAGTTATAAAGCAGCAACAATGCACTATGGAAAAACATTCCTTTTGTTTCCCAAAGGAGCCTTTTTTTCTGAGCAACTGTGATTGCAGAATGTTTTGTTTACAGGTTTGGGCTAGTGCCTAGCTGGGGAAAGGGAAAAAGAGGTGGTTATTCCTGTATGTGGGTCTGTTGCTGCCCAGCAACATGGTTGTACAATCAAGGAAGAACAATTGCATTTAACAAGTGATAGGAGATTACTGTTTCTTCTTAATTTTGTTTTTATAAAAAAGAAATGCCTTGGTAGATCTGAATGGACAGGGATTTGGATGGAAGAGATTGGTGCAATCCTTATTCATTAGTTGTGGATTGGAGTAGATAACATTTAGCATAGCCATAACTCCTAACTGTTGGAGTAGAGCCTTGGCTCACACAGGGGAGACAGGGATGTTACCAGGAGTTTTTATATGCTAGCCTTAGATCACAACTGGACTACATAATAGTACTTTTTTTTTTTTTTAAAGTGTTTTTAAATATTCTGGTCTGTTTTTTTTTCTCACTGTGGACATAAGTTGGGGTTACTTCTAGGGCAGTACGCATGGAGCTTCAGTTACAAGAGCTTGCTTACTCTTTTCCCTAGTGTATCCCATTTTCCTCTGTGTCCCCACCCTGAACTGGTATGTGGGTTTTGACAGTGTAAGCTGGAAAAGAAACACTGGAAAATTGGAAGTGGGCTTTAAATAGCAAACTGTATTCAGATGATAATACAACCATTTCCAATGGTGTCTGCATTGCTTTACTTTGTAATATTCTGGACCAAAGTAGCTCGAAGGAGGGCTGATGGAGAAAAGTAAGGAACACCAGCAACATTGGTTAAGCCCAGGGAACTGTATGTAGAGGAGCCGTGTCCCTGTACAGCTGTGTTCTATCCAAAGTCATCCTATCAGCCACATCATTAAGTTCTGTGCTCCCTCTTGTGGCAGATTATGGCCAGTAAATTCACCGTAACTCATACCTGTTGGTTGCAAAATGTGCTTAGGCTTTTTAAATGCGAGAGGTATGTGGCATCCAAACTATTTTAATGCGACTGTGTACCAAGCTTAATAGACTTATAAGCACAAATAGCACTGAATTCTTTTTTATTGACACTGGGGGAGAAAAATCTTTCACCATCTGATTGACTGAAGTTTGCCAAATGAAAATAGACAAAACAAATGTTTATGTACGTGCAAACATTGCAGATCAAACTGCTAAAAGAAATAACTAAAAGACAGGTCTTGAGCTAAGATCAAGCAGCAGAAAAATAGCAAATAGGTAAATGACTATTAAGTAGGTCTTACTTTGAAACTTCCCATTTAAACAAAGAATAAACAACAATAACACCACCAAATAAAGCCACAGCAGGTAATAGTTGCTCTTCTAAACTTTTATACACTATATATTAATCACTCTGTCTTTCAGTTATTTCCTCTGATAAAACAGACTTCTGTGAAGTCTCAGCAAGGCCATCTTGGCTAAAAGCGTGGCGTTAGACAGGAGCCTGTCTAATGCCCTGTTGTGATGAAGAAATTGTGGGGTTTAGCTTCTCTTTCATTTTCTTCATGGAATATGTTCGGAAACTTGAGAATCTCATTCTATGCAGTCACTAGATTTAATTTTCCAATGCTGGCTGGTGTCTGAAGATCCTGGAACGAAAAGGTGGCTCTTGGTAAAGCAAGATTCTTCTTGGTCCGCAGGTAACATAGAAGAAAGTTTTTGGTTTTCATATAAATCGTGTTTATTAAATTGCTTTTTTTTTTTTCTTTTTTCTTTTTTTTTTTTTTCTGTAAACAGTTCTTCTGGGTTTATGTGTGTGTCTTTAAGAGGTGAGCCATCATGATGATACATCTATACGTATCTGACATTTCCATTTTGTGTTTAGAGGTCCATTTTGGCTCCAGTTCCAGGTTATGTCATTCTATTATACATCATCAGAGGCAGGTGTTCAGCTTTAAATATTGACAGATTTTTCAGTAGGAACATGTTGAAGCTTCTAACTCTGCTAAACATATTTGTTTGACTTTTACAATCCAAAAACTGTAAAAATGGCGGAATGGAAAGATACAAACAGTATTATTGACACTGTATTTTCAAATGTTTGCACTGAGACCCCATGTACCATAGATTTTATTTTTAAAAAATCATATTTATAACCATTTACATAAGACTTACACATTTTAAAAGAAATACATACACAGTAAATACGTAATGTCTAATATTTTACAGTAAAACAGATGGAACAATGTAAAAATGAGTGGCTTCATTTGATAAAAGCTTTGGATGTGTACTACTGCCAAATTTCTGATGACAGAAATGCTGAGAGGAAAAGGGGAGGTTGTTTTGTTCTTCTCTTAGTTTTTTTTTTTAAGCAATTTAGATTTTTCATTATTAGTATTCTTGTTTTAAATTAACCAAAACGTGAAAAGAGCGTCAGATCTGTGAAACTTCGTGTTCTCTTCCCTATTACCCTGTTCTTGCAGAGAGTTTTAATGTTCTTTTTTCCTAAGTAGTGGTAGTGCACTTCAGGTAAAGTAGAAGAAAGAGATGACATCTAAAGGAAAAAATAAACAAACATTAATTAGTGAGGTTCTGTCATAGTAATTTGGTTTAGGACACAGTGATGCTGGGTAAGCTGCTGCACATTTTACTGAAACTTCTGAGGGAAACATGCATTCTTTGATTTTAGATCTATAACATAAATCTATTAATTAAGCATTTTTATCTTTTACTAATACACACTTGATCAAAACAAACTGCTGTGAGTGTTCAGTTCACTTCATAGCTGTTTTTTGGGTGTTTTTTTTTTTGATGTTTTGTTCAGTGTTGGTGGTTGGCCTTTGACTGTTTAGCCCAAAGCTGAACATAGCCAGATAAGCATGCAGATTTCTCTTCATAGAATCATTAGGGTTGGAAGCCACTTCTGAAGTGTTTAGTTCAACTGTCTACCTTCCGACAGTATTGCCCACTAAACCACGTCTCTTTTTGATGTACTCTGTGTTTCTCCTTGCTCACTGCAACTTGACAGCATTTACCTTCTTGACCCTCATGATTTCTTTGCTGTGGACCAGCTATTTCTGGATTATCATTCACATCTTTTTGGAACTCTTCTTTTCCATCTGTCTTTACAAATCCTCTTTGGAATCCTTCACTGATGAAGTACATAGTTGATTTTACAAATCCCCTGACATTTGATCAGAATAAATGTGAAACTGTGGTATGCTTTTTGCACCAGCCTGTGGCAGTGAAACTGTCCTGATTGAGCCTTTGGCTGTGGTGATGACAAGTATTTAAGGCAGAAGTGCAGGGAAAGCTGCACAAGGTGACTGCCAAATCCACTGCCCTGGCTTCCAGGTGCTTTCCTGGGTAACAGCCATGGCAGCAGGAGCTGCACCATCCCATATGCACTGTTGAACTTCTGTGCAAGATGAAATGGCTTGACACCGGCAGTCCTAAATGTACTTAAATTCATGATCTTAAGAGTGTACTCAAACTGGGCCGTGTAGAATATGTTCTTGTTAACTGTTCTGAAAATCTCAGTTCACGTTTTATGGCAACTCATCATGGTGGTTTCAACAAACGTTTAAAAAAGTACCTGAAGTACAATTTGAAAGCATGAGGATTTAACCCATTGTGAAGAAACACCCAGAGACACTGGATGATTGCATCCACTTGGTATTGTTGGCATAAACTATTTTGAAAACCAAAGCTTTGACATGTTCTGTGAGAAATGTGGGTAGCAGAATGCAAGAATTCTGCACTCTGCTGTCATCACAGAACTCATTTGTTCCACATGCAACCTATTTACAGCTCTCTGTTCAGGCTGCTTTTAATATGCATAGAGCTCTCTACTGTTTTAATAATACACTTGTATTGCTATTGTGCAACAGCTTGTCAGGTACCCAACTCCTCTGCTGCCTACTTAGAAACAGTCCCATGTGCCAATAGGTCAGTTGCTGTAGTAACATGGTTATTGATATATTTTAGACAAGGTGTTGCAAGCCTGGGTCTCAGTCTGTCTTGGATCTGAAAAATTTCAAGAATATTATAATGAAGGATTTTTGTATGAGCATCCATCAGTTCTTTCTGTGAAGAAGCTGTGACTCAGAAAACGTGATCCCAGAACCCTGAAAACTCTTCTGCAATTCTTCAACCACTGTCAAACAAATTCAGCGTGTTTAAGTTTTCATGCCTGATATAATAATGAAGGAAATCTTTTTTCCTGCATCATTTTTATATAATTAACTGAAATCCAGAATAAATTTTACTTGGTACTGAATGTCGGTGGCAGTTTGGAATTGCATTGATGAACTGTGCATAGCC